CTATTCATGTGGCGCGTACTGTATATAATCGTCCGAAAAGACCACACACGACCAGTCGAAGGGACTTTCGGCATGTTGCATGGCCCACTTGAAACGAGACTGCTTATGCGCAGGTGTGAGCGGCAAGGTACGTTGCATTTTGGTATAGTCGAGCAGATCACTTCGCTGCAGGACTCGTCGAGTCGTCCGGACATTGCAAGGTAGTTCGCAGGCCTTGTGTAAGGTTGAGGCGCTTGACCCAGTCTTGCAAGCTTCACGAACCAAACGTCGGATTTGCCGCTCGGAGAGAGCAACAGGTCTCCCAGGCTGCTTTTTGCTGCGCCCCTGCTGACGCAGGCAGCGAGAAATCACAGTGACAGACTTGCCAGTAACCGCGCGTATGGCACGGTACGACCAATTTGCCTCCCGAAGGCCCTTTATGCGGTCACGCATCTCATCGGTAAGTTGTTCTCGACCCATATTGCCGACTGACAGTGATTTCCCACGCGTTATTGGTTCACAAACACTCTTACAATCTTGGATTTTGTATAGCAAATTTTGTTCCTTGATTTTGTCTTGTCACAAATTGAACATTGAATAGAAAGTTCTCGATGCTGACGACTTGCTGCGCCGGTAGCTATAACTAGCTCTTCCTCAGTGCAATTGGCTCATCATACTCAAACAGCAACTCTCAACTCTCAAAACTTAGTGAGATATGCCATGAAATGTGAGTGTCCCTAAGTTTTGTCCATGAGTGTATGTGAAAAAGGCACACTATAATATAGAGGTTTTAGTGTGCTGAATATTTATATTTTTTTCTCCTTCCCTTTTGGTTTTGTCAAGGATTTGTCTTTTATAGGCCTGTTTTAGTTTAATTTGTACAGTTTTTTCATTCTATTGCGCAACCTTTCCCGTCTTTTCGTGACGAGTTTTTTTTCTTCCAGTTCTGGTTACTAATCGTTAGTAATCGAATGCATATAAAATTGTAATAATCCACCAATCCTGTCACATCAAACCTCTGCTGGGCCCCTCGATGCCCTCGCGGACTGTTAGTGAAATTGTCGAAGGTTACAGATAATCACCATACAATAATTTAATTTGCTGTCTCAATCACATTGATACCATCAATCGGCTTAGCTCATGATTGACCAAATATGCATCAGCGGATGCAGTGGCATCCGATTCGATGACAAATTCGCATTATAAAGAGCATGATTGGACGATGACTTATATATGTCGCCAATCGTCATGAGCCAATGGTAACAAAGTGAAGTGAAATCACACTCACCACCAAACCAGGCCCACTTGGGAATCTTCGCTCTACAAACACCTTAAACACTTCTAGCTGACTCTGCACCTAGCCTAGCCTATGTAAACTATTCCCACTGCCCATTCTGCTGGCTGCTATGGGTCTGGGATCTCTGTTGAGTCCCATGGTGCAGGGCATGATCTTGGTTCTCAGGCGATGCGGAATGAGCATTCGAGCGATTGCAGCGTCCCCAAGACTGTCTGGACGTTGTAGATTTCGTAAACCATGACACGAAATTCAAAAGAACGCCACAAGATTGTGCGTTGGCATAACTATGCTAGAAAGATCTCGCGAAACCTAAAGATGGGTCAAAGCGCAGCATCCCCAACACATCTACGCGAGCCCGTCATCGCCGACCACTCGACGTTTTCTTGGTCTTGACTAGTACCATGCTTGCAGCCCAACATTGACCGGTGGAACGATATTCCTTGGTGCACGCACAGTCGCGAATATGATGAATCGCCTCTCAAGAACCTTCCTAAATGGATACCCTTGATCAATAAATAAATGCATTGATCAAGGGTATTCATTTAGGAAGGTTTTTGAGTGGTGATTCATATTCGCGTCTCGCGGCGGCCGTTGTGGATTGGAACCATGGCCGACCTCATGCTCCAGGGAGAGTTTTCCAAGGATCCGAACAAGCCGTTCACGACGCGGGTCGACGAAGTGTCCGCGTCGTTTGACACCCTTATGCTGGAATGCAGCGATTTGTTCCTGGCCTTGGAGAAACAAGAGTACATGAATTGACCTCGACGACACTCGTCTCACGTATTGTTCTGCACCATAGCGCGACACAACAAGCCGAGGCAGCAGAATCGATCAAGAAGAAGCTCGAAGCATTCAACTCGGTGTGTGATGAGCTGTACAAAGAGATCGTGCGTCGCCTCCAATCCTTGTGAAGTCTCATGGGGCAGGTAGATGCGCCGTAAAGAGAAGCTTGTCAACGCACACGAACGGGTACCTGGCAGCAACAAGTCGTCTGACTTGCATCGGCAGATCCAAACAGCGGGCAATTTGGCCCAAATGCTTGGCGAATTCCGTCACTTTCTGGAAACGGGAAAGCAAGAATCCCAGCAATAAGCGATGGCTAGTCTACCAATGTGTACTTGAAGAGCTTGGGGCATCCTCTCCCGCCTCGAAAACAGCATGGAACAACTGCATCCATCACAGAAATGCCTTGGATCCATCGTACTTTGGCTGTTGCTTCGACGAGCCACGGCAACCGCTCCTCACTCAGGATTTTGACAGGCTGTACTCTGTCACCTGCGACGAGGTCACTGGTGAGAATCCAGGAGGCCATCATTTCCCAGCCGACACAGCTTCAACCCTTCCTGGTCCACCTGCGGCAGAGGCCGAACGAGTTGACGTCTGTATTGCCATGCTGACGCGATTTGATATAATCCAGGAATGCGGTCTGGTCCTTCTCACTAGATAGCTTTCACTCTTTATGTCTGGCATGGCATCGTCGACGACATAGTTCCGTCGTGCTAACGCAGAAAAGGTGTCAAGAATGATACCCCCGGTCGTATTACGATCGTTAACAGCCTTGAAACTTGGCCGCCGCATTCGTTTTGCTAGCTGCGCCGTGCATGCATCTTCGTCAGGGGCTTGGCGGTGCAATCGTGCGACCAACTTGGCGAAACTGGCGCCAGTGGGGCCATCTCGATGCCAGTCAGACGTGGTGGATGGCTTCCATACTGGAAATCATCTTCCTCCGTCCATGCGAGACTAGCCTCGATGCAAAACCTGCTGACCGTGTCGTATCTTGAGCTTGGGCATGGGGGACGATGGAGATCCTGTGACAGCTTGGCTTGGCATCTCCAAGTCGGCGAAGGATGATACGACAAACGCAATCGCGGGCGCGTACACGTTCGAGGTTGGCGTGCGAACTCGCGGCGATTCGATCGAGTCGCGATCGACATGCTGAAGCAGGACACGTGGAATGGAATGCCCACTGCTGCTTGACATGGAGCTACTGCTGCTGTCGTCGAATATAAAATCTAGTCGGCACCAGTGAGAGCACGGCTCGCTGGACAAGGTAGTACAACTGCGACTGGCGCCAGAAGGCAGGGACAGCTCATCAACGGCACCACTGCGTCCCAGTTCGAGGTCGGCGGGGTCGTCGCATTTCGTCGACTCGACCTTGCATTGGACCAAACACAACTTGCAGAAGTGTTGGATTGAAAACGTCGGCGGCGATATTCCGACCCGTGTTCGGTCGACACAATGCAACGCGACTGTGCACTGCCCGCACATTCCCTGCAGTCACGTCAGTGTGGCGAAAGGTCCTGGCTCGATTCCTGCATACCAAACCACATCTCCGGCACGAGCTGCTTCGACGAAGCAGATGAAAGGACTTGAGGCACACGTGGCAAACTCTATAGCAGCGGAAGCATATAAGGGTTGGTCTTGACGAATGGGTGGGAACGACCCGTCGAGATACCTGCCAATCGCAGCGTGGGCGGCGAATGGCCCCGCCGTTAGCCGTCGAAACGCAGGGACAGACTCGAGGCGACTCAAGCACCCCAACTCCTTTGCAAGTCCACTCGGAATAAACAGCCCCATGCTCTTCCACAATGTCAGCTGACCGGAAGGTTTGGCTCGTGCTGCGACGGGCCCGACAGGACCGAGGCATTTATGACGATGGTGAAGTTCTGCGGCGTCAGTTAGCTTTGTCCGGGCTACGAAAGACACACGCCGTGACGTGTACAACAACCGCTGCCACAAGTTTACGTACGAGCATGTAAATCGAGTCCGGTCCAGGCTTGGAGCTTTGCGCGCACCGTCAGTTGAACGCTGCCGTCCGGCAATTCGCGAAATAGCTTGACACTTGTCCAGCGGTCGCTCATGGATGCACTGATCTTGAACTTGCGTTCGCCGAGGGCGTGTCGAGCTTTGGAGCTGTGCTGTGGCTCGATCGCCAAGGGCTCAGTGACAACACACCAAGTCTTGCGCCCTTGGCTGTCCTGTCGTGTGCCACAGTACTGCGTATCGTGAGAGAAGTCCCTGAGCAATGTCCACCCGACATCATACCTCCAAGTAAATGTGCTCTTGGTCAACATCGGCGCCACTCGTCACAGGAACTCGCAGCTGGAGGAACTTGACTCCGAGGAATTGGCCACGATCCGCATGGGTCCTTTGGCGCATAATGTTCAGCACGGCGGCGTCGGTCACGGCATCCTCGTACAGCACCGCACTCAGTGCCTGAAATTCCGTCGTCGATGCCGCGAACAGCGCCTCCTGAAGGGCTATCAACGTCGTGTGCAACGTGCCAATGCACAGGTACTCGTGCGTGCTAGACAATTGCCTTGCCATGACATTCCAGCCCATGCTATTGAAACACTGAGTCCATCCGTTCTCGGACGTCTTCTCGTCGCTTCGCTCGGCCAGCGCGGCGACTGCGGCGCGTTCGGCGTTCCCCACGTGCCTTTCGTACACCTCCTGTGTAAACTCCATTCGCTGCTGGTGTTTGAAAGCCATGCCCGGGGGTGGTCAAGGCCGTGCCGTGCTCAACGCTTTGTCACCAGGTGGCGGAAGGGCTGCAGCTCCCCTGGGTTTGAAAGGGTGAAATGGCGGCCGCATTGCGTACACCCTTAGTAGGGTAGAGGGCATCCCCTGACTTATGGCCAGACCAATTCGTCTTTCTCCAGTACCCTCGCGCGTGTTACTGTGAGTCCATCTGTGGCGACACCACTCTTACGTGAAGAGAGGGGGGGAGGGGTCGTACAAGTTATGCCGTCTCGAATTTGGCGATGGCTGCAGGCAAGGCGATACCAAGCCATTGGTTTCGCCGAACTACAGTACATCCCCCAAGTCCCGCAAGCTCTTCCCCAACTGCGCTAAAGGACCAGGACATTGGTGTTCTGCGCGAAAGTCTGTCCTTTGGGACGCAATGCACACATGTTGGCGGCATACCCTTGGGTGCCACCCTGGTTCACTCTATATGCCCTCCATGAAGGTCCATGAAAGAGCGGCTGCAGCTAACGCAGCCGCCATGCCCTCATGAATGGCACCGCCCTTGGCTGCGAGCATCAACCAAGTCGTCCAGGTCATCAATTCCATCAGGGCGGCGCGTGTCGTTGGTGGTGTGTTGCCCTGTGGATGTACTCCGTGACCAGATGCGCGACATGGTCCGAGCACAATTCCTGTGCAATTGGTCTGATTACTGCAACGCAAACTCGAACCGATACCTTTCCCTCGAGTGGATATTGCCCGTCCAGTGCGATCAGAGAGACGTCGAAAGATGGCACCCAAGCATTCCCTCCACCTTTCACTTTGCCTGGTGGGTTTGCTCTGGGGGTGACGGGGTAAGCCAAGATACCGTAGCTCCCAAAATAACAAGCTCTAATCTGATCCTGTACGAGCTGCCCACATGGGTGATGTGTTCAGCAGCCGGCCTTTGCGGCGGATGCTGATCCCTAGATGACTCGATTGACGTTGCTAACGTGGCCAGTGTCGTCTGTGTTTGCGGCAGGCTTTGGCCCCATCAAGGGCCATTGGCCGCGTCGACACCATGGCTGAGGCGGTGTAGCCATCTCGATGCTAGTCCCACGTGTTGGGCTACCAACACGTGGGACTACGTGAGTTACCAAGCATTACGTTAACCTGATTCTCGACGTCGGTGGGGACAGAGGTGTACAGACACAAGGGTGAATTGATGGGACAGCCGAAGAAATTTGCTGCCGTCAGTGAACACACCAATCAAAATGTATTTTTAGAGTTCGATGTGTCGATTGGTTAAAAATCCTGAATAGCCCGAAAACATTTCAAATTCGCGGGCTATTAAAATACCAAGTGATGGCATGTCCACTCATTTCGCAATGTCTCCAATGCGCCGCACTAACTTTACCTCCTGAAGAGACCAAGGCGACTCTACTCACATGCTATCAAGTGCGATATGATCGTCAAGATGCAAGGCGCCTCCACTCACGACATCGAAGATCAAACAGGAATCCTCAAGAGCAACCTCTCATAGATGCGACAGGCCACTCAGCTCCTCAACTTTGGCGGCACCAAGAAACAATGCAACCTTGACGTAGCTGAGAGGCCCGAAGAGATTCCCAATACTGCAGAACTGAAAGCATTCATGCACAAGCATCGCAAAGCCGAGGAACTAGTCACCTGCATAGACATCGTCAACTTCCTAAAGCGGAGCCTGAAGGAGAGGTTCGACAAATATTTGGCCACCAGAAACTGTGGGTATCAGTCCCTGTTGGAGCTTCTGCATTGGTTTGCTCGCACCATCACTTCACGCGACAACGGCCAACGAAAGGAAAACAGAGCCAACTGGACCTCTTGGTCACTCGAAGGGACTTAGCACTGGACTTCCACAAGGCGTTCAATGACTTTGGCATTAATACGATATAACAGTGGATGAGAATGACATGAACTAAGATATACCCCCTAATGAATGTATACTCTGTACAAGGTGGAAGTTCAAAGATTGCACGTGGGGGCAAGCATTCAAATTGAATGACTGCTGTCCTTGCAGTCCGCGCGTGCCGATTCTGTTCAGTATGAGAAGAGAGCCCGTTGTGGCCATCGAGCAGAATGAGGTCGACACGTTCCCAGTTGGCCTCCACTGTGCCGCCCAGCGACGTACATGGATCGATTCTAGCACCTGGGCGTACTAACCATGTAGGCAAGGTTCTGCGACTCCAAGCGCGTGAGCCGTCTGCACTTCTGGTTAACAATTTCGATCCCCATGTAAACAAGGAAGGCCTCAAGACTGCCAGCGAGGTGGCAAGGTGTGCCATTCCACCCAACGCAATAAGAGTGGTGCTGATTTGGCCATCGAGCAGAACGAGTTCGACACGTTCCCAGTTGGCCACCACTACGCCTTGCGGAATTATGGTCCCTTTAAGCGTCATTCGCGAAATCTATGGCACAAGGTGGAGCTAATTGAGGAGTGCGATAATGAGAAAGATTCAAATTTGGTGACATTCCCGGAGCAACAAAAGCGTCTTTTTATGACATACCGTGCCATGAAGGCGTGGGCGTATTAAATCGCAAGAAATCCATTGCAGCCTTACTAAGGCTCTTCCTCAAAAGGTTGATTGGTTTACCGTCTTTTGCCCGTTGGCCGTGGACTCCATCCACAGATATGGTCGGTTTTGGGGTCTATTCAGTAATCCTGTATACATCTCATGCCCTGAAATGCTTCTGCATGCCACGCCTCTGGTCGTCGCGCTTGTTACATGTATGCCAAGCATGGCGACTCCGCTCATGGGATTGTGCGCACCGTCATTGTTCATGATGTTGGCCCCGACCTGTCCCAGCATGGCATGCTTACCCTTCGCGTCTCAGGCTCGCTTGTGGCATACATATCATGCAGACCAGAGTACATCTCACTGAAGTTGTCGCTCGAAAACCACTTCGCTCGACGGTGTGAAGAGGTCTCTCGGACCAAAGCTGCCCTACGCCATCAGGATAGAGTTGGATGTTGTGGTCGCGTTCGCACCTTGAACAGAAATGGCAATTTGCTATCTCAACAGCCGACGGTGTGGTTGGCCCATACTTAGCAAACGCTGGAGAAACGCAGAGATCTCGTAATGGTTACGAATACAGTCGAATAGGATTGCCGTGCGTTGACAGAAGAAGTTTGTGGTGACTTAGCAACGGTCGTGGCAGTTTGGGTGTCCTATTCTTCTTAAAAACCACACACGTGTCCGCGTCCATGACTGCAAGTAGGATGCTAGGCTTCCTCTTGTTATGCGAAAATCTGTCCCAGCAACCTATCAGCCACGTGAAGAAACGACCGAACGACCTACTTGACGAAGGGATCGCGGCATGGGTGAGCAAGGTCATGTTGATACATCCTTCGTGCTGCGGAAGTAATACCCGTGGCAATAGGTCTATCTAGTCAAAAAAAATTCAGCCACGTGGCGATGTTTTGTCCTAACTTTTGTAAATTTCTGGAGAAAAAATCCAGACCTGCATTGACGAGCTCAGGTCTAGAACCCAGGGTTCTATTTTGAAACTACTTGTTCAACCACTGCGCTATCTTGCCAATCGCTTGATCAAACCCTTCAAAATACTCGAGTGATTGAAATTGGGAAAACCACAGAACCTGTTATTTGGTTGGCTGATATGTTCCGAATTTCGAAGTTCTTCAGTCTATCATCGTTCGTTGGTTTGACGAATTCGAAGGATTCGTCAAATGTCCATCAAATTCCGTCGGTGTGAAGGCTGTGCCACCGCCAACGATACGATCAACGCTCACGCTTGAAGTGCAGGAAGCACATATTCTAGGTAATTCTGAAGGATGGTACGGGTGTAATCCCCGTTTCGACCACCGAATTGGTACATGGCGGTCTGGGCGATGGAATCGTCGGTTTAGGCACAAAAAAGATGGAAAATGCCTCCAGTGGTACATCATCGCAATTTTCCTTTCTTAGTATTGTCACAGAATTCAATCTGCAAGAAGAAATTGTTGCACTTGTAGCCCATGGGTGGCAAATACTTCTACGACCTAGTACATGATATCATAAATGATTTATCTTGGATGTACTATCAAATCAATACAATACAGGGAACGACGGAAATCCTTCCACCGTGGTACTCGACCATGCTTCGGAAATATTAATATAATCGACGTCCAAAGTCATCCTCTGGAAATTTAGAATATTTTTGACCAATCGATGACAATAGTATCTACGCCCAAGCACTCCTCAAGAGCAACCTCTCATAGATGCGACAGGCCACTCAGCTCCTCAACTTTGGCGGCACCAAGAAACAATGCAACCTTGACGTAGCTGAGAGGCCCGAAGAGATTCCCAATACTGC